AAGTTGTTGAGATATTAATGAAGTTAATTAATGAGACACACAACATGCTTAACTTTACAATCATGATGAAAAAAAATGATATAATATACTCTAATCATTGAATAGCCTACTTATGTTATTATCATTTTATAAATGATAACTAGTTAGTTTAAGAAAATAATAATCAAATTTGTTGCGGGCTAGAAATTACGCGGCGATAGAGATTTGATTCTACGTCTTAGCGTTGAACGTATAACTAGCACACACACAGAGAACACAAATTTTTTTACGTGGAAAACCCTTAAAAGGGAAAAACCACGAGGCCTAGCCCAGTTGAAAATGATTCCACTAGACTTTGAGTTGGTTACAAATGACTGAATCACCTCCAGGGGTGATCAGATTACAATCAATTACTTAAGTAAGACGTCGAGTCTTCGGCAGGACGTAGGGACTGAATGTCGGGCTCTGAGTAGGACGTCGAGTCTTCGGCAGAACGTAGGGACTGAGTGTCGGGCCCTGAGTAGGACGTCGAGTCTTCGGCAGAACGTAGGGACTGAGTGTCGGGCCTTGAACAAGATATCGGGTCTTTGGCAGGATGTAGGGACTGAGTGTCGGGCCTTGAACAAGACGTCGGGTCTTTGGCAGGATGTAGAGACTGAGTGTCGGGCCTTGAACAAGACGTCGGGTCTTTGGTAGGACGTCAGGTCTTCAGCGGGACGTAGGGGCTGAACGTCGGGCCTTAAGGTGGTGGTTCGGCGAGGTTCTGTGGTGGTTCAGCGAGGTTCCTGCGGTGGTCCGACGAGATTCCTGTGGCGGTCTGGCGAGATTCCTGTGGTGGTCCGGCGGTGGTCCGGCAAGGTTCTGCGGTGGTCCGACGGTGGTCCGGCGGCTGTCGAGGAGGAGCTCCTTCCTTCTCTTCTTCCTTCTCTTCTCTTCTTCTCTCTCTTGCTCGGATCCTCTCTTGTGAAGAATGAGGGCTCTATTTATAGATTTTCTTGAGTGGCATGGTCCGTAAATAGGTGTGAGATCAAGGGCGAATAAGCAGTGGCTCGAATGGACGGTCGATAGTGAGCCCTTCGATTGTGCACCGTTTGTTGGCTATTTGGAGGCCTTAATGATGTCGGAATTTAGCGATCTTGGGCTCGTTGGATTTGTCTCGTCGAGCCGTTCGATTCGAGTATAAGCTCGTTAAAATCAGAGACCATTTGGTAACTCAAATTGCGGTTTGAACCTTCCAATTGTGCTTTGAACCCTTGATTCGGACTCATTTGGGCTCGGATTGGGTTGATCTTGGTGTCGTTGGGTTTGTATTTCCAAGACGCTCAGTTTGACTATAAGCTCATTGAAATCGGAGTTCGGATGCTCCCGAAATCAAATTTTGAAGTTTCCAACTAGCCTTTTGCCTCGAGATTCGTGTCCGAGGCAAAAGACATGCATATAATTCCATCTAATAATTTGTTAAATATGTTATCACAATTTATTATTTTAATAGTAACGATGATGATGATAATGATGTGCAAGTAAACTTGCTCGGAAAAATTGCTTGCATAGAGAAGAGTACGAAATATATGAAGACTCAACTGATATTCAACTGAAGAATTAATAAGAGAGCTCTAATGTTAAATTAGCTTAGTGAATGCACTGTGAGCAAATTCAACATAAATGAATATATTACAAATATCGGAATTATTCATTGTCATTAAAGATATCAAAATCATTAGTGAATGCATTGGGTTCCCTAGTGCCCTAGTGCTGCAATGTTATTTGGGATCAGAAACGACATAGAGCAGAGCGCGGTAGGGTTGTGTTGTGCCGCAACATAGTTAGACGGATCGGGATCAAAGGGTTGAGCGCCGCAACGCTCCAAACTAATGTCAAAGTGCTTCGAGATGGACTAAACAATTTTCTTTCTCGTTTTTCTCAAGAGTGGCATCCCTCTTGGTGTTATTAAATTAATTACACTTATGTTTTGAGTGTGAGAATAGTGTAAAAGAGAAACATATGCCTCTGCATTTCCCATGTTAAGTCCTAGAGCCCTTTTACTTTCCACTACATTGCTTCTTTTTTTCTTGTTTGTTTTGTTGTATTGTTGTGTTGTTTACTCTTCCACATTCCCAACAAGAACTTATTTAGTATTTATAGCAAAAATTTATAGTTTTTCTGGGACATTTAGGTCAAGTAAGATAAACTTACACACACACACAAAAAAAAAAAAAAAAAAAAAAGCTTTGAACTCAAGACCTCTTAGTTGATATCCAAAGCTCCCAATCAACAGATGAAGATAAGCTGCATTAAGAAGAAAAATATTTAGTCACTACTATATATTCTCGTTATTAATTATATGTTTTGTTATATTTTATATAATTTATTACAGGGTGAGTCACTCATAAAAATCTATAAAAAGGCCCCCACTCTCTACATGAGGGAGACCTCTAGGCTAGAGATTGGAGAGAACTATAAGTCTTCAAGAGCTCCAACACTACAGTCGGCGAATCCCGGTCGACTATCATTGGATCACCGCTCGATTGTCGATCACCGTCGAACTTCCCCATGGCCGCCGCTGGAATTCATCCCGACTATCATCATACATCCACCCGAAGTGGAAACGTTTGTGCGATCCTTCTTTTTTGGAAGGTTCATTCAAATCTCGGTCTTTTCTTGATGCTCTTGCTAGTAAATCCTCTGATGGTAGATTTATGGATCTCAAACCTTCTTCTTTTCGTGGTTTATCATTGCTGTGGATTTCAGAGGAAGAAATCAATGCCCTTGCAATTCATTTTCAATTTTTCTTAATTGGTTTTTTTCCCTTTTAAAAGGCCTTCTCTGGAATCAATTCATAGATTTTTTTTTTCATCCTTAAGCTCACTGGTGATGTTTCTGTTACTTTGCTTGATCAGTCACATATTTTGATTAAGTTGAGTAATGACCTTGATTATTATAGGATTTTTTGTCATCAAACTTACTTAGTTCATAACTACTATATGAAGCTGACCAAATTGTTTTTTTCTTGTTGATGTTGGCGTTGAGTTGCCTGTAATCTCTATCTGGGTTTCTTTCCCCAATCTCTGACCTCATTTGTTCTCTCCCCCCCCCCCCCCCCCAATATCGCCTTTGATTTGGGTTCAGTTTTTGGTAGGCCATTGAAGGTTGGTAATGCTACTTTTCCATGGGTTCTATACCGTATATAGCCCGTGTGCTTGTTAAACTTGACATCATGAAATCCTATCCGGATAAAGTCTGGTTGGGTCCTGAGAATCTAGGCTATATTCAACATGTTTCGATGGAAGCTTTCCCAGCCTTTTGTGTTTCTTGTAAATGTATTGGGTGAGTGGTGATTATCGGCCTCTTCAGTCTTCCTCGTCTAATGTTGTTCTTGTAGTCTCTAAACCGTTGACTGTTAATGTTAACTATGAGGGTGATAGGATGAAAAATATTGTTTCTTGTAATGCCAATGTAGGGGCTTTAGAATTGTGTCCCACTATTGGTGATGACGAGAATGTTGCTGGCATTGACATTATTGTATTTAACTCTGTCGATGAAGTTATTATTATTGGTTTTGATTTGATTAATGCTTTGAAATTTAATTGTGTTTATGGTGATGCTTGTCGGCCTATATCTAAGATAGGTTGTGTGGTGGCACCTGAAATGGGTGATGTACCTATAGCTCTTGAGGATGCTATGGATGGTTTGGATACTCTATTTCCAGTTTTGGTTGGGGTTATGGTACATATTGGCTACTCTAACTTGAATGTCTCCATTTCAGTTGGGGAAGATGTGGAGACCTCTGCTCTTGTTTATGAGTCTTTGAATGCTATTAACTATTGCATGAACTTGATAGCTAGTCCTATTAGTGAAAAGGATGAGGAGGTGTTGGGTGATGATTATGTTCCCTTAGGTAATGAGGAGGCTGGGGGTTTAGATGGGGTTTGTTGTGACGTCCGAGCTCCAAATTTCTCCCATTACTACTTTGGAGCCCTTAGTTAATGTACACATATATGTTATTTCCAATGCTGGTATGATATCCCACCTAGCAAAGGATAATGTTTGGTGCCAATGCGATCGGTTAGAGGAGGACATTTCTTTAGCAGAAGGAAAAAAATTTAGGAGTTAGAATTGGTCGCTCAGGACAATTTTGATTTAAGTCTTCTCCAAGTTGTTGATGTTGGTTTTTCAAAAATAATGTTAAGCGTAGTAAACGAATACTCGATCAAAAATAAATGACTTCTCTTTTTGGAGTCTTTATGTTTTTGTTTGCTGGTTAATCTTGATTTTAGTTCTATTATGGCATCATTTTTGGATTAGGACAATGATGAAGCAGGTTTCCTGCAAACCCCTTGGACGATTATGACTTGGTTGGCAACCTAGGTGGTTCTGTGGTCTTTTGGCTGTTTTCTTTTTCCCTCCTTAGATGGTCCCAAGTTTGGCAGCTAGGAGCGATCTAAGTCCAATTGGCTTGGGGATTTTTTATTTGAATTCGTCTAGAATGCTTGGCCCGATCGTTTATTGAAGTGTTTTGGATGTAATTTTCATCTATGTGGCCACTATTTAGTCTTGCGGTGTATTTTTCTTACTTATTAATGTATCTTTTTTCTCTTTAAAAAAAATGCCTTTGATACTTTCAATTCATGCAGATGCCTTCTATCTTCATGCATGTTACGAATTCCCTTTTTTTTTTAAATTTATGGACTATTGTGGCGGTTAAAGTACAGATTTGTGGCAGTTTAATCCGCCACATGAATTCTGTAAATCTTTTTTTTTTTTTTTTGAACTAATAGTGACGATTATGACCGCTGCAATTATGTAATGTTATGACGGTTAAAATCGCTGCAATAAATTGGTATGAACCACCAGTCCTGAATTTATCACGGAATGTTGTTGAAGCCCATTGTAATCATAGCAGGTTCTAAAACCGCTAAAAGAAAATTTGTGGCTGGTAAAACCATCGGGAAAGATCTAATTTTGCACTATGATAATCCTATTTTTAATTCGTGAGAAAGATATTACAAATTTCTTTGAACAAAAACATCGAATCAGATTCAGAAATAACATCTTACAAACATATAAGTAGATAAATAGAAACGATAAATTAATAACATAGTTTTGATTTCTTCTGCATGCCATTAATTTCTTTGCCATTTTAAAGTTCCTGCAAACAATAATCATGAAGAAAAAAAAATTAGAAGATTGTGAGGTCGAGATATAAATTAAAGTCATAAAAATGACATGAAATACAATAATAGTTCTTTCACAATTTTCAAAAGATGTTTTTAATTAAGTTATTTAAGATTAAAAATAAAATAAAGTGTTAGAGATTACCTGCAGATAATTATGATAAATGAGTGCTAAAACCACCATCATAATTAATTATTAAATTGCATATATTCAACTTGTATATTGCCATCGTTTGTGTTGGTCAAAGCTGAGAAAACCTCTTTTGAGAGAAGCATGGTGAAACCATTACACTGCCCACAATAATCAACTAATGTAACATCATATTGATATACGTTTCCTGCATTATCACGCTTGCAAGCTGCTTGAAATATGCCTTCACTTGTTACAGACTTACACCGCACTAAATAATTACGCCCGCAAGCATTTCGGTTATCCCATAATGCATCACTAACTGAGATAATTTTAGTTATATTTTCGCTGTGCCCGCAAGCAGATGCTGCATACATCCACATGCAGAAAAGTAATTATAATTATACATAAACAAATACTTAAACAAGTCTTAGAACATATTAAAAAAGCAGGTTAATTGGCACTTACGTATGTATGGTCCAGCATAGAAGGAGGCTACTCCTACTCCTGATGTAGATACGACTGATGTAAGGCAAAGAAGCATTGTAATGGAAAAAATAATAGTTTTCTCTTTCATGTTTTATAACAATATTGTTTTCTCAATGAGAGTTGTTGATATGAGTTAGGGAGAGGTCTGTAGCCATTTATATATAGGATCCTCGTCAATGCAATCCCAAGAAATGCCAAAGTAGATACTTATTTGACAAAATCAAAGTGGCACAAATTATTCTGATAAAAATAAATATATAAATAAAAATTTTCAGTAAAATTGAAACATCAAAGGCTCATTCAACTTAATGTTTATTAATTATTCGAAAAGGACAAAATGGCACTTATTATCCTGAGAAATGCTCATCCAAATTAACGATTGTAATACATCTGGAATGAATTGAAGGAGATAATTATTTGACAAAATCAAATTGGATTTCGATTATTTCAAGAAAAAAAAAATTGAATAAATTTTTACCTCGTTTAAATTAATTTTTGTAATACAATAATATATCAAATAGTTGGTTTTTATATTATAAATGATTTTCTATATAGACTTTGTTCATACATGCATGCTCAGTGATGAGAACCTTCATAACCAGCATTATAAAACATTCACTGAATACCGACGGTCATTTGACCACCGCAGTTACCAACAGTTAAATCAAGGATCCAAATGACCAAACTGCCCTAAGAAAAAAAATTAGACTCTTCTCCAAACCTCAACATGACCCAGTCAAATCCAATCTCTAGTGAGAACATCCATAACCTAAGCAAAAAGATATGGACATAAGGCTGGTCATTAATGCAATCCAACTGAAATTGGAAAATACTTGGTCAAACAACCTTGTGTTTGAACACAAGTAATACCTCATATATATATATATGTTAAAACACACAGCGATGCCTACACGTTAATATAAAAAAGGATTACAAGATCCTTAAAAGGAACCTCCAGCTCACTACTCCTCAACAAAGCTACAAAATAAAGCAAAATAAAACCTAAAAGCCGGTGGTTCCTTAAACTAATAATTATAAAAATACCTACAAACATACTAGGGCTGCAAGGAGACAGCACCCAAAAAAGGAAGAGTAGAGAATCAACTTTCAGCACGAGCTTCCTGCAAAAATTGTTGACAGCACCGTAGATATCCCAGTTTGATGGAGCATCCAAAGAGTCAAGAAGAGCAAAATTCCACCCAAAGGACCTACATAAAAACAAAAACTTACATACCAAAATACTTAGATTGCTGTAAAGAGAAAACAAAAAATTGTCATTGATCCAGTCCACACCAGTAAACAAGCAATCATCAAAAATCTTATAATCCACAATATAATCGGCAATTGATAACATGATCCGATTTCTCACACAAAAGTACAGCCTAGAGTGGTTAAACCCAAGCCTCAAATCGATCAAAGCATTGAAATAAAGCCCCATAAAAATAGAAATAAAAATATTCCAGTTTTGACCACAAACCAGAGCAACAAAAAACTTCAGGTTCAATAACCCACCAATATAAATCCTCCCTCAAACCAAAACATAATCAACCATCTCGGTTTAAAAGTGATCCTGAAAGTCCCTACCAACAGCAAAATAAAACTTCCACTTATGACCACAAAGACACAACCAAGGTAAATCAACATAAACCAAAACAGAGTCTAAAAGAAAATTCAGAATATCAATCTCAAGAATGTAGATGCTCCAAAGTAAATTAACAAAGGCCTTATCCCCCAACTGCAAGCACAGACAGACAAAATCCAAAAGCCACCACAAGTTCCACCTCCAAATAGTTAATGGCCTCCATCCCACAAAGTATGAACCCAAACACATCCAAAGATCAAACCACTTGAAACACATAGATGCATCAGCAGAATATGCCAAACCAGACGAATGCAAAGCAAACTGAACAAAAAACAAATCAACCATTACGAATATAAGGTAAGCCATATTTATCTAGAATAATCATACCTTTCAACATCGGGTGTAAATTTCGAATATCAAACTCCTCATAATTATTAAGATAACAACCCTTATTAGCTAACCAATCAGCACACACATCAGCTCACATTCGAAATAATTTGAGAAGCATCCACATTGATATCATTGTGTTTAGCCTCATTTCTAGCTTTCCAAATGTACCAGAAAATAATTATAGGAATCAGATTAAAAATATGCCCTTTAGAAATATGCACCCAACTCTCTAATATAGAAAAAATATTATTATGGTGGGTCACTAAACTTTTCTTGGCAATACTATTGAAATAGGACCACACTTTCTTGGCAATGTCACCATTCACAAAAAGATGATCAACACTCTCCACATTAGAGTAGCACAAACATTTAGAAGAAAGGGCAAAACCTTTTTTTTTTTAAGCAAAACATCAACCGAAAGATAACCTTTAAAACACCTCCAAACAATAATAGAGTAAGAAATCGGATAATTCTTATGCCAAATAGCATAAAAAATAAGCGATTTCTCAAATTTGATTCTAATAGTATCCCAAACATTTTTCAAGTGAAATTTACCAGAAGAAGAAAGAGAGAATAAGATTTTATCTTTGCATTGACCTTGTAAGGGAATATTCAAAATTATCTCCATTAAAACCGAAGGAACTACCTCCCTCAGCTTAATGATATTCCATCTATTATTAGTAAAGAAATTAGAAACTTTAACAGTATCAATAGAATGCGTATTTAAGAACGTGTCATTAGAAAAAGGGCCCAACTAGTTATCTTGCCAAACCCCATTGAATAAACTATTCAGCTTCCCATTTAATGTTACACAATCTTTTCCATATCATAGAATCAGCATTTTTGTAAAAAGCATAAAGTTGAATGCATATTATTGAAATACTTAGCATTCATATAGCGGACCCACAAACTGATATTAAATCTAAAAGAGAACCACAATTTATGGGAAAAAGCTTTAGCAATATCAACCAAATTCTTGCAACCTAAACCCCCTTCATTCAAAACCCCGCAATTCTTAGTCCAAGAAGACCAACGTATACCATTGCTATTGAACTTAGAGCCCAAAAAAAAAAAATTTATCATCCTCTCTAATCTAGTGCAAGTAGAGGTTGTAGGCGTTAAAGTATGAAACAGGTAAATAGGAATAAAATTTAAAACTGAATTGATCATAACCAGTCTACCACCATAAGACAAAAAATTATACGACCAATTGGCAAGCTTTTTCTGAACGTTAGTAAATATGTCTTCAAAAAGAAATTTCTTCTTTTTGCCTTTATAAATAGGAGTGCCCAAGTATTTTATGGGCAAAGTCTTAGCTTGGAAGTCACAAACCCTTTGAATAGTGTTAACTCTAGTCTAGCTAATCGAACTGCCAACAATAAAATTGCTTTTGTCTTTGTTGATAGATAAACCACTTTGATCACAAAAATTTGACAAGGAATTTCATTAAAACTTTTATATTCTTGATGGAGCCATTAGAAAATAGAATAAAATCATCAACAAAGATAAGATGAGATATAGGGAAACCCCTTTTAGTATGAAAATTAAGGCTAGGGTTTTTAATATATAAATCATTTAAACCCCTAGACAAATATTCCATAACAATGATGAACAGGACAGGAGAAATAGTATCACCTTGTCTTAGACCTTTGGAAGACATAAAATAACCATGATTCCTACCATTAATAATAACAGAAAAATAACAGTTCTCAACGCTATTTTTAATAAGCATAATGAAATAATCATTAAAATCAAAAAGAGACAACACGTCATAAAGGAAATCCCAGTTGAGATTATCATAGGCTTTAGTAATATCAAGTTTTAAAATAATGTTTCTATCATTAACCTTAGCATTAATATCATGAGTAAGCTCTTGAGCTAAAAGAACATTATCAAAAATACTTCTATCCTTCACAAAACCAGTCTGATTATAAGAAATAATTTTAAGAAGGATATTAATCAATCTATTGGCAATGATCTTAGAGTTAAGCTTGCTAAGAAAGGTACAAAGGCTAATCAGTCTGAAATCATTCTAATTATTGGCCCCATCTTTTTTAGGGATGAGGAAAATCTTTGTAGAAGAAAAAAAGTTCGGATAGGAATTACCCTCAAAGAAATCTTTCACTGCTTCAATCACATCCATCTTTATAATCTTCCAATTTTTTTTGAAAAAATTTGGTAGTAAAATCATCTGGACCCGTACTAGCATCCCCATTCATCTCATTAATAATATTGAAGATCTCATTTTCAGAGGGAATTTGACAAAGTAAATTGTTATCAATATCATTAATAAGTTTAGGAATAACATGAGGATTACTTATAGGAGAACAAACAATATAGCTATTAAAAATCTTCATGAAATGATCAACTCCAGACTTACAAATCAAAGCATCCGACTCAATTAAACTACCATCATTATTAATTATTTTATGAATCTTACTCTTAATTTTATTCTTATTAGCCAAAGTATATAAAAATTTAGTATTCCTATCACCCTCCATAACAACTTTAGCATTAGACTTTTGCTTCCTGAAAGATTCTTCCTGAAGCTGCAGTTGAAAAAGATACTCCTTAGCTTGGTTAAGACAAATCAGATTTTCTAAGTCCGAATTCTCCAAATAAATGATATCCAACTCAGAAACTTTCCTCTCTGCTTCAATAATATTAGCAAAATTATTTTTAAAAATATTTTTGTTCCACCATCTCAAACATTGATTAAGTCTACTCAGCTTAGCACATAATCTAAGCATGCCAGTGATGTTGTTGTTAGGGTACATAGGTGCACTCCAATTAGTATCAACCACATTTTTAAAATCCGCATGAAGCATCCACATATTTTGGAATCTAAAAGCATAAGAACCAGTATGACAAATATCATTAATATTCAGAAGAATAGGAGCATGATCTGAGAGCGTTCTTCTTAAATGCTCAACATTCGAAACAGGAAAATCAGCAATCCACTCATTATTGAAAAGAAATCTATCAAGCCTTTGCCATAAATTAGTTCTATTCCAGGTGAAAGGACTCCCATAAAAACTGATATCATTTAAATTTCAATCATTAATCATAGCATTAAAATCTTCCATGGCTTTAGTGTTGGGCGGATTACCCCTGACTCTTTCAGAAGCATTAGAAATAATATTGAAATCACCTCTTACACACCAAGGTCCATTAATATTAGCAGCAAAATTAATTAATTGATCCCACAGAGTGATACGATTCAATCTAGTACAAGAAGCATACACAAAAGAGGCATGAAAGTTAATATTAAATAAATTAATATGACAATGAACAACTTGATGCCAATCAGCGACAATATTTAAAGATATGGCATTGTTCCACATAATCCAAATTTTATTAGAGCAATTAGAAAAATGCTTAGAGAAACCCAAAAAATTAGCAGTAGAAGCAATTTTATCAGAAGCAATGAGAGGTTCAATTAAAACTAACACATGAATTCTACACATGTTTTTGACTCTAATCTTAGAGTCCCTACCACCAATACCCCTCACATTCCACATGAGAGCCTTAATCATTGCAATCTTTTGAGGAAGTTTGAGCTCTGGTGGATCTAGGAGTAGCAGGTAAAATATTTCTAGCTTGCTTACCTTTCTTTTTACCAACCTTAATGAAATTGTCCTCATCATAACTTTTATGGGCATCTTTATCATGATTGGAAAAGGAAGTAGTTCCTTGATTAATAATGATATTATCAAAAGAGGAAGAAGGTGGGATGAATTCACCTCCTTCACAAACCTCGTTAGAAACGAAACAATTACCCACCATTTTAGTGTCCTTCAAACCTTTTTCTATGGAATTGTCAAGCAAATAAGGTTTAGCAACATTAGGATTTTCCATATCATTAAACACAGACTCAATAGAAACAAAAATATTAGGGTCAGTTTCAGTGTCATTGGTAGAACCAATTAACTTTTGTCCATCCTTAGCATTTAAAACATCCACACTGGTTTCATGAAACTCATCCGAAGAAGGCCTTACATTTTCTAAGTTTTCATCATCAGAACTTTCTATAATTGTTTCTAAGTTATGAATTGCAGATAGCGGTTCCACCTGATCAACTTGGATCACTTCATTGTTTTCCACCGAAGGGACATATATTTTGTGTTTTTCAGTGGATCCAGGTTTCCCACTAGTCATCACATTAGAATTTTAAATTCGGGTGAAGTTTAAAACAATCATTTTGAGCATGTCCGTGTATTTTACAATGAGAACAGAAATCTGGAACTTTTTCAAACTCAACCTTTTACAAATACCCGTAGGCTTTGGAACCAACCCACATTTCTTTGGGATGTTTTTTGGAAATATCAACCTCAATAAGAACTCTAGCTACAGAAGGTCGAGTACGCAAAGTAGTAGCCTGGTCGTTTTGGAGACGCCTCCCAAAAATCGAACCCAACGCATGCAAGACTTTCGGGTTAAAAAAATGCATACGCAAATTCGGAAAGGATATATATCCAGATCGAAACTATTGGTGATTCTTCTTTAATGTCGAAAAACGGACTCCATTTCAAAATTTGCATTTGGCAATTAAAGATAAAATAAGAACGTCTAGCAAATACTCGAATATAATCAAGATCGTTAGATAACTGTATAACAACATGCCGAGAATCCAGAAGGCCAACCGAATAAAAACCCGTAAGTTTCAACAAAGCAAAAAAAATGGCGGATTGCATCCAGATTAGGTCTACGTAAACCAAACTTTCTAACCAGCGTAAATTGAAAAGGTGAAGCGAGTTTAAGGACTTCATCATCAGATAAAAGAACGGTTGAAACCCCATTTAAAATCGATTGAGTTATAGAAGGAAGAACATCACCTAATGCCGAGCTACCCGACAGTACCACTTTGAAAGAACACAATTGAGAAGGAGATTTTGATCCATCATCATCCATGTTAAAGAAACCTTTATTCCTATTCAGCACAGGCTCAGAAGCTTTCCCCCATGGATTCGATGAAGGAACTTCCGCCAGCAAAAACTTGCCCAACAGGGGAAAGGATCCCAGAGAGGGACGCCAAAACACTCAGATCTCACAAAGAAAAGAGAGAAAACTGGAGACAACAAGCCAAAAATGATCGGAGAGGCGTATCGCGGAGGAAACTCTAAATCGCCAGAGCGGCGCGTTATGCAAATTTAATTATATATATATATATACTTAATAACTTGAATATAAATATTATTAACCTATTTCTTTTCTAGAACTCTCCGTAGCACTTCTCTTGAAACATTATCATACACTTTCTCTAAATAAAAAAAAATATCATATGTAGATCCTCCTTATTATCTCCATACTTCTCCATCAAACCTCTCAATAAATGTGTAGCTTCCATAGTAGAACTACCTAGCATGAATCCAAATTAATTTTGAGAAACATTTGTATCACGCCACAACCTATGGTCAATAAATCTCTCCCATTGTCTTAAAGTATGACACATTAACTTAATTCCTCTATAATTCACGCAATCTTGTACATCACCTTTAATCTTAAAAGTATAAATCAACACACTCATTCTCCTCTCATCTGACATCTTTTTAGTCTTCAAAAAAATTTTAAAAATTTAGCAAGCCAAGAAATTCCTTCATCTCTTAAGCATTTCCAAACCTCTATAGTAATATCATCTAGTCCAATAGCTTCTTCACACCTCATTTTTCTTAAAGCCTCCCTACCTTCAGTTTTACTAATATGCTGATAAAAATAAAAAAATTATTTTCATTTAGGGTACTAAATTTACTAAAGTCATAACATTCTATAATCTTTATTGAAAGAATTAGAAAAATATCTCATCCACACTTTTATTGAATATCTTCTTCTCCAACAGCTACTTCATCATGCAAATATATATATAATGGTTGATAGTATTTTTCTTTAGAGGCGTGAGGTTAGTAGTAGATTTAATATATAGGTCTAAAATAATGTTGATATTATTTTTCTTTAGCTAATCAAGCTGTTGAGATATAATTTGTGAAATTACAAGGTTAATATCTATAATTTGATATTATTTAAGGTCCTTGTTTCAATTTGGTTATATGAACGTGTAAGCTTGTCGGTTGGTTTTTACCCAAAAAAATTGACATAAATAACAATTATCGAACCTTTTAAGGACTTGTGCTATTTTACTTAATCAACGCGTAGGCTTTTTTATGAGTTTTATCAAAAACAAAATCAAAATTATCGGATAAAATTTATAATTTCTAATATAAAAATAGTGGAAGAATAATAATCAACTATATTAGAAATCACTGCTTTCCCTTATGGATCACTTAAACCTTACTTAGTACAGAAATATAGAAAGAGATTACAAATTTCTTTGAAGAAAAACATCAAATCAGATTCAGAATATAACATCTTACAAACATATAAGCAGATAAATAGAAACGGGAAATACAGAGTTTTGATTTCTTCTGCATGCCATTTTAAAGTTCCTGCAAACGATAATCATGAAGAAAAAAACTTTAGAAGATTGTGAGGACAAGCTATAATCATATAAATTAAGTCATAATATTGTCAAGAAATACAATAATAGTTCTTTCACAATTTCCAAAAAATGTTTCTAATTAAGTTATATAAGATTCAAAATAAAATTAGTGTTAGAGATTACCTGCAGATAATTATGATAAATGAGGGTTAAAACCACCATCATAATTAATTATTAGATTGAAAATAATCAACTTGAATATTGCCTTGGTTTGTGTTGGTCAAAGCTGAGAAAACCTCTTTTGAGAGAAGCATAGTGAAACCATTACACTTTCCACAATAATCAACTACTGTAACATCATATCCATATACGTTTCCTGCATTATCATGCTTGCAAGCTGCTTGCAATATGCCTTCACTTGTTACAGACTTACAAAACACTGTATAATTACGCCCGCAAGCATTTCGGTTATCCCATAATGCATCACTAATTGAGATAATGTTAGTTATATTTTCGCTGTGCCCGCAAGCAGATGCTGCATACATCCACATGCAGAAAAGTAATTATAATTATACATAAACTAATACTTAAACAAGTCTTAGAACATATTAAAAAAGCAGGTTAATTGGCACTTACGTATGTATGGTCCAGCATAGAAGGAGGCTACTCCTACTCCTGATGTAGATACGACTGATGTAAGGCAAAGAAGCATTGTAACGGCAAAAATTATTATAGTTTCCTCTTTCATGTTTTATAACGATATTGTTTTCTCAATGAGAGTTGTTGATATGAGTTAGGGAGAGGTCTGTAGCCATTTATAGGACCCCCAATGCAATCCCAAGAAATGCCAAAGCTGATACTTATTTGATAAAATCAAAGTGGCACAAATTATTCTGATAAAAATAAATATATAAATAAAAATTTTCAGTAAAATTGAAGCATCAAAGCTCATTCAACTTAATGTTTATTAATTATTTGAAAAGGACAAAATGGCAGTTATTATCCTGAGAAACGCTCATCCAAATTAACGATTGTAATACGTCTGGAATGAAGGAGATAATTATTTGACAAAATCAAATTGGATTCGATTATTTCAAGAAAAAAAGTTTGAATAAAACTTTAGCTCATTTAAATTAATTTTTGTAATACAATATTTTATTAAATTATAAATTACTTTCTATATAGACTTTGTTCATACATGAATGTTGAGTGATGAGACTATAAAAAATTCATTGAATACCGGCGGTCATTTGACCACCGTAATTACTGACAGTAAAATCAGGGGTCCAAATGACCAAAATGCCCTTTAAAGAAAAAAAAATAGATTTTTCTCTAAACCTCAACATGACCCAGTCAAATCAAATCTCTAGTGAAAGCATCCATGACCAAAGCAAAAAGATATATACTTAAGGCTGATCATTAATGTAATCGAACTGAAATTGGAAAATACTTGGTCAAACTATACCTTGTATATATATAATGACTTGAATATAAATATTATTAAGAAGTGAAATTATTAGCTTATATTCATAATGTTGGGCTCTGTCAAACAAATATATTATTACTTAGAATCCCTTTAGTTTTTAAGAAGTGAAATTAAAGATAAAGCAAGTTGCAATGTATAGACATTATGGCTGTGGGCCTCCGAAGGAGCACCGCTCGCGGGGGTTCGAATGTAGAGGGTACGGCCGCACTATCCCGTAGGACAAAACGATCGTAGGCCTCTACGCTCGACACGAACGGGTCGATGGGAGGGCAGATTGGGTCGCGCATACGACTAACCATTGGGGATAGATGCTGTCGCCAGCACACCCCGATGGGTAGTAATATACACGACCTAGTCACGGGTTTCCCCCACTCGATACGAGAGATCGAGTGGGGTAAAGTAGATTGCGGGGCCAAGTTTCCCACGGGCGCAAGCCCCCGTGGTTAATTACATCCCGGGCCGGAGCCCGAGAAGACTCTCGATTAAGGATCATACATTATCTTTTCCAAAAGTGAGATCGGCACATGGGTATAGACTAGGAAATCCTACTCAAAGGAAAAAAAAGGTCTCAAAGAGGCTCAATCAACATGCATGGCTCATACCAGCATTCAGAGGCTCTAGGGTACTAGAGAGAAACTGGAGAAAGAAAGACAAGCAATCAATCACATGCGTGAGAGAAGGATGGAAGTGGCCCGGAGGATCGCCGCCGGCGGGGTCTGGTCGTCGGGATTTGGTTCGAAAAGGTGGAGGGAGGTCTTGGGAGTGCTCTCACAAAATATCAGAGCCTGAGGTGGTCTCTAGATCGAGCAAGAGCAAAAAGATCCCTAATTGGACTTGATTTCTCCTATTTAAACGCTCTAAACCTAAAGTAAACGTCCAAGATTAAATCAGGGGTTAATTAGGAGGGAAATAGGTCGGTTTAGGCCGTGATTTCAATTTCAAAACGAAAGAGAATCAATTGGAGCATTGAATGGGCATTAATGGGCTCTTAATAGGTTATTTCAACCTATTTAAGACATGATTTGACCAAGTCAACGATTGACCTGGTCAAATCAGTCAAGAGGGTCAAGGAAGAGGTGGGTTCGAGCCAAGAATGAGATTGGATTTGATTTAAATCAATTTGAGCTCTAAATAGGCTAAGTGGTCAACCCTGGTTGACTTGGTCAACTGGGTTGACCTAGGGTCCAAGCCCGGGTCCAACAGACTCGACTCGACCCACTGAACCTATTGGAAAGGATCTTGGGGTCTGGCTTGGTCAATTTGACCAAGTCAACCCTTTGACCAAAGGTCTGGGCAAAATCGAGGTCAACAATGGCATGACACTTTTTTCTTTCCATTGTAATGTTTCGTATTCTTAAGTCATGTAAAGCTAACAAGATCTGAAATGTATGTATCTTTTGGTTGAAATAGAAATAATTTGGAGAAGTTTCTTTCTTTGGAAAATCTTGGTGACAAACCCAATATCCTTGGTTTGGTGAGTTTTCAAATTATGGATATCTTTCATTCCGGTTGAGCTTATATTTGTTTGATAAAGACAAATGGTTTTTTTTTTTAATTAAAACCCACAACGGGGCCTACGTGTTGATAACAAAAAAAAAACGGTTACAAAGTCCTTAGAAGGTTCCTCCAGCTCACTACCGCTCCAAAGAGCTACATAAGAAAATAAAACAAAAAACCCTACAAGCCGGTGGATCCTTTCCTACTATTACAAAAATGACTTAAATTAAAAGACGGGCTGTGAGTCAACAGCACCCAAAAAAGGAGAAGCCAAATAATCTTGAACCCTTTCAGCACAGCTCTCCTGCAAAAATGGACAAAGTATAGAAAAAAGAAAAGCCAAAATCCACAAAAACATACCTTGCGATCATTCTTGTTCCACTTGTATAAGTACCTGCAAGGCATCCTCAAAAGAAACATAAGCACCACATAAGAAAAGAAAACAGAAACCTGAGATTTAATGCCTAGCAGAAAAAACCCATTCCACTGCATGACATAGACCATATTATCACAAACCATCCACTGCAAATTTATCCAAGGCCCCAAATCACCAAAAACACCAGCACCAGCACTAGCACCCAGCCAATCAGAAAATGAAGAAAGATAATACCCAACAACCAGCCAGACAGACCAAACATCATCTCCCAGTTGACATCCAACAACAGATCAGATAAATACCCACAACACCACATAACATCAACAACCCAGCACCAAAAAACCCGCAACCAATCCAGACTAAGTAAAATACACCAGACCAAAAGCAACCGATACTGCAGCAGTAGAACACCACCACAGAACAGAGCCAGAACCTGAAAAACAACCAGAAAAACACCAAACAAATCACCCATATTTAATGTTAGGCATAGAAGCCTTATCCAGCAACAACATACCTCTAAAGGAATGCTCTAAATTAAGAATATCTAATTCCTCATAGCCAACAAGGAAAGAACCCTTATTAGCTAACCAATCAGCACAGACATTGCCTTCCCTAAAAATATGAGAAATATCAAAATTCATCAATTTAAATAAGTTCTTAATTTTCCTAATAATATAAAACTTTTGGGCATTACCGGTAACATCATCTCTAATACTTTGGTTTATTTTGTCTTCTATTAGAAACTGAATTATGTAAATTAGTGTTTTGATTTATGTATAATTCTTGGGATATAGCTTTCATGTCACTTCTATTCTTAAAACATTTTATGAGTATTGAGTTGGTATCAAAATACTAATAATTGAATGAGTTTTCTATGTGTACAAATTTGTCAAATATAGTAACAAAATCCTTTGTCGATTGATTTATTTTAGCTTCTATTTTCAAAGAAATATTATTTTCACAACATAGAAAGTTTTTATCCTCATTTAATGTGAACCGTTTATAATATATATAATGGGTTAATATATCAGGAAATAAAAGTTTGAATTATGCAATGATATAATTTACATGTTTTGTATTTTTATTGAGATGATCTCACTAAGTTTTAAATACTAAAAAAATGCATAAGAATTGATCGTGGATATAGAAAATAGATTTTTGTAATTAAAGGATACATCAAAAGACCAAAAATGTGGATGATATTTGATAACAAATTAAGATGTTTTCTGCAATGAAAAGTTTAAAAATAAATAAAACTTTCTGGATTTACATAACAAATACTAAACATATGATAAGTAATTGAAGTGGATGTGAAATTAATAATTATTATTTATTATGTATTTGTTTAAGAAAGTGGTATGTTTCATATCTTGAATTTATTATATCTAGGAACAAAGTTATAGATGAGAACAATCCAAAGGAGAAATTTAGTATTTCTTATTTTTTTACTCTTTAACACAAGGATTTCTCTCTTTATTCTAATTGGTGATGATTAAAATATATCTAAAAATTTCATTTTAGATATATTTATTTAACTGTGAAAAGTTGTCAGGAAAAAAATTATTATGGACAAAAAACTAGAAGAAAATTTGAGTTACACCATGCCTCCATGAAAAAATAACATTTTTTTTTCATGAAAAAATAACATTATGCGTCAATACCTTACCACAATCAAATCTACTGAAGATAACACTATGGTCTTCAGGATCCCTCAATGTTCTTAAGAAGCAATCTCTGTCTATCAAGCTTTTAACAAAACCATCTAAACAAAGTGGTCCCCCGTTAACATAATCTTAGAATATCTCTATTCGATCTAAATATCGGCTACTTGCCCCTTCTATGCCATTCTTTATGGAGATGAAGCTAACAAATACCTTCCTTTAATTCTTCTTATTGCTAAGAGTTACCTGAAGGTAACTAGTTTGAGATATAATATGATCACAAGTCTATGAAAATGATGGTTGCATAAAAAAATTGAGTGACGTAATGAATCTTTATTCTTAATAGTGACTTTGAAACTAATTTTCACTTAATATGGATAAGAGTTGGATTACAAAATCCAAGTTGAGTCGTGACTATGTAAATGGTGTAAATAATTTCATAGAGTTTGCAAGTCAAAGCCAAAATTTATCAGGGAAAATTTTATGTCTGTAGAAGTCATGCATTAATAGGTACTTCTATTCTATGAAATATGTGAAAGACCATTTAATTTCCAAAGTATTTTGGATGGATATGTTGTATGGAATCAACATGGGAAAGATCATTGTATTATAGGTGAATATGCAATGAATGAAGCATCTAGTGCCACACCAAAGTTAAAGGAAGGCGAAACTCCTTCTGAGGATATAAGAAC